TTTTGAACATGTTCGAGCATTTCAAATGCAGAAAAGTAGTCAGAGTATGGATTGTTTTTCACTTGCTATTCAAGTAAGTAGCATATCATTTTATAATTTTTGTACTATAAATAAATATTTTTAAAAGTGTAAATGATTTTAGGAAATTTTAAAAACATATGATATTTCACCTCAAGGTAAAAACAATGAATTATGGAATAATTTACCTATATCTATGAAACAGATTATTACTCCTTTTTTAACTTCACATTATAAAATTGCAACTGTTAGCGATAATGAAACGTTTCCTCATCCTATTTATGGGTAAATGTCTGATTAAAAAAAAAATCTTTAACTATTTATTATATTCACTAACTGATTTTTCAAACAGTTCTGAAGCTGGTTCTTCTGTAGAAAATTGGGCTTATAATTGGCTTTGCAATATGTTTAATAATATCCATGATGAAATTCTTAATAATGTATTATGTGCATGCAAATTGGCATTGAAGCGAGATATAAAAATATTAACATTTTGTTTACCTCATGTTGTTTGTAAGTATTTTTATTAATATTATATTCAATAATAAAATATATATAATTTAAATGAACATATTTTTTTATTTACAGCATACATAATAACAAATGGTACCGAACAAGAACGTGCAAAAATACGAGAAGAAATGTTGACAATTATAGATGTTAGAAAAAAGCCTATACTTGATTCTGAATTATCACGTCATAGACCTCTTAGACATGGACACAATGTAAAATTAGATATTAGAATTTCTGAAGAAACAAGACGTACACGTTGTGCACAGGTATAGAAATAAAAAATGATATTATTTTTATTCATTTAATAATTTTTTTTATAATTTTTGGATAGATTATATTTTCAGTGTTAGATCATTTACAAAGATGGCTTTGGGAACAACGATTAGTTCATGATTATAAATATAAAGCTTTAAAAAGTAAGTTTTTTAAATTTATTAATAATAAAATTTATTACTAAAATTAATAAAATATAATTATTAATGATATTGTTTTTTGTATATTGTTTTTAAATCAATTTAGATTTTTGTGAAACATTAAATGCATTAGTAGTAGCAGAAGGTTGTTATCAATTTCAAGAATATCATAGAGCATTAATGTATTTAGAGCAACATATGATTTCTTCTAATAAAGGATTATCAGAAGCATTGGAGGGCGGATTACTTGCTGTAAGTTCTAAATCAATAATAAAATTAAGAGTAGTTTATTACAATTTTTATTTTTCTTTTTTTCTAGAAAATATATGCGCAATTAGATGAACCAGATGGTATATCTGGTATATTAGCTACTCAAGATCATACTCCTACTGTTCAACAATTAGTCTTAGCTCATGAAGTTAATGGACAGCTTCAAGTAAGATAAAGTATTTACTTATGAATTTATTATATATATATTTATATATATATATAATATATATTATTTATGAATTATATATGTATTCAATGTATATATTATATTATATATTCAAAATGGGCATAAAATATATTAGGATGCTGCGACGTGTTACGAGAGATTAGCACAAAAGAAGACTTTAAAGCATACATATTTGCAAGGAATGATCCAATGTTATCTTGGACTTGATCAACCTTTTACAGCAAAACATATTACAGAAGGAGTTTTGAGTAATCGACCAGAATTAGAATCATTAATGATTGAACAAGAACCATTTTGGAGATTAGCTCATTTTATTAGATTTGATGACACTTCTCAAAAGAATATAAAGCATATATTACTTGAAGATCTTAAAAAAGGTATTAAACCTGATTTAACATCTTTGAAAAGGAATCTAGTGTCACTTTTAGAAGATGCTTCACGTCCAGGAGCTTATCAACAAAGCTATTCTTACATCATGAAGTAAGATTTAAAATCACATTTGACATTAAAAGATATTTATAATATTTTTTTATATAGGTTACATATTCTAAATGAATTCGATAAGGCAATTGTTACTATGTTAAACAATATAGAACAATTACCAATGATATTTGAAGAATGGGAAAAACGTGGTCAACTTGTTCGTGCTTCTCGAGGAGTAGAATTTGTATTAAGTATGCGTAGAGCTACATTAGACTTAGCACTTCAATTGCAAAAAGAAATTGAAAACAAAGAAAATTCAGTACTCAAACAAGAAATTGGAAAGATTTGGCTTAAAAGTGCAAAAATTGCAAGAAAGTTTGTATTAATATTTATAAATATTTGTTATCTCATTTTGTCTTTTAATTTTTAATTTATAGTTTTTATTTAGGAATAGACAGCATCAACAAGCGTATATGTATATTTTATCAGCGAGCGATTCTTGTCCTCCCCAGCAACTTTATATAGAACAAGCTCAATTATATTGGCAAAAAGGTTGTCAGGAAGATGCTTTTATAACATTAAAGCGATGTTTTTCTAGTTATTTTCAGCCAGCTATGTATTACAAAAACTTATCATCAGGAGAATGTTTAGAAGAAAGAAAGCAATGTGCAAAGGTATAGTATAATATATAGAAATATAGTATAATATTATCAAATGATATTAATAATTTATTTGTTATAGGCAAAACTTTTATATGCAAAATATAATGATGAAACAGTTAATGTAGATACTGATGCTAATATCATAAATTACAAAGAAGCTATTGAAGTGTGGAGAGAATGGGAAAAAAGTTTGCTATTTTGTGCACGATATTACGAATCTGTTATAGATAGAATGACAGATGAAGAGAAAGATTCAAGAGGACGGTAAGCACGAGATAAATAATATTTTAAATAAAAAAAATAATTAATTATAAATATATTTAGAGATTTACAAGTGCATACTATGAATTATTATGGGAAATCACTTCAATATGGTTGCAAATATATTCATCAGTCTATGCCAAGAATGTTAACTATATGGTTGGATTTTGCTTCTCGTGCAACACGATCTAATAATCTTATGAATCAATCAAATCAAGAACAAATCAAATTACGAAAAGATGCATTATTGAAAATGTCAAAAATTATGGGTAAATAATATATTATTCGTTTAATAGCTGAAATAAAATTTTAAAATTAAATAATTCGTTTTTTATAATCTAGAAGTGTATCAAGAAAGATTACCGATATTCATGTGGCTGACTGCATTTAGCCAACTTGTTTCGAGAATATGCCATCCTTCTATTGAAGTACAGAAAACTATTTGTACAATATTAGTAAAATTAATTCATGCTTATCCTCAACATAGTTTATGGATGATGGCATCTGTTATTAATGTAAGTTTTTTTAAAAATTATTAATAATTTTTAAATAATATAAAAGTTATTAATAAATAAAAGTTTTGATAAACAATTTTTTAGTCGTCTTATCCAGCACGTCAGAAACGTTGTCAAGAAATTCTCAGTCATATCAAACTTAAAACACCAGAAATGATAAAACTTATTTCAGATTTTCATAAATTATGGGAAAGATTAATTGAACTATCCAATAAAGCAATTCCAGATGTAAGTAAAATAATATTTTATATAAATTTTGATATTATGATATTTTATAATATTTTAATAGGGGATTATGAATACTACAATAAATCTCTTGTCCCGGAATCTTCCTCGTTTACTTTCAAATAAAGAATTTAGTTCGATAATGATACCAACAACTAAATTTAGACAATTGCATTTGCCATCTAAGGGCATGTCATTAGAAAATCATAATGCATTTTCTTCGTATGTACATCATCATTATCTATTGCGTATTATTCTTTTTATTTTATCTTAAAAAATTTATTATCTTAAAAAATTTGTTTTATAATTTTCAGAAATTGGATTCATATATCAGGAATAGAAGATAATGTAGTTGTTATGCCATCTCTTCAAAGACCACGACGTATTACATTAAAAGGATCGGATGGTAAAGAATATCTATTTATGTGTAAACCAAAAGATGATTTACGAAGAGATTTTAGATTAATGGAATTTAACGATATTGTAAATAAATATCTTCAAAATGATCCAGAATCACGGCAAAGAAGATTATATATTCGGACATATGTAAGTCAAAAGTGATCTTATTATATATAATTTTAATTAATATTATTTAAATTACAGAGTGTTGTACCTCTCAATGAAGAATGCGGTTTAGTAGAATGGATACCAAATTTAGTTGGATTTAGACCCATTATAATAAGTTTATATAAAGAAAGAGGTATTGCAATTTCAAATAGAGAACTTAGAAGTATATTATGTTGTAAGTAAAAATATAATATTCCATTTATTGAAACGAAATTTTCATCAATAAAATAAATAATAAAGGAAATTAGTAAGCCCTTATTATATAAATACATACTTATTTTACATAATAAATTCATATAAATGAAGTTATATTAATATATATTGCAAAATTAAATTATAAATAATTATAAAAATTCTTACTTGGATATTATATTTCAGCATTGAAAGATCCATTAGAAAAAAAAAGAAAAGTATTTTTAGAACAACTTCTTCCGCGACATGCATCGGTACTTGGAGATTGGTTTCGTCTTACATTTCCTGATCCATATGGATGGTATATTTTATTTATTTCTATAAATAAAATAAAAATTTATTATTTAAATGCATAAAAATATGATTATATATAAAAATAGGTACGAAGCACGTACTGCCTATATTAGAACTACAGCCGTAATGTCTATGGTGGGATACATTCTTGGCCTTGGAGATCGCCATGGAGAAAATATATTATTTGATTCTAAATGTGGAGATTGTGTACACGTAGATTTTAATTGTTTATTTAATAGGGTACATACATATATTAAATTTATTCATAAATTAAATTCACAATATGTTTCATTTTTATTTATTGTTACAATAATTAAACAAAATAAATATAACTAATGAGATATATATATTTTTTATATAGTAGGTATTTTAATAATTAAAATTATATTTCTGTTATCAGGGAGAATTATTTGAGTGGCCAGAACGTGTACCATTTCGATTAACGCATAACATGGTAGATGCTATGGGACCATTAAAAATTGAAGGACCATTTAGGCGTGCTTGTGAAATAACTATGAGGGTTCTTCGACAACAAAGTAGTACATTATTAAGTGTATTGACGCCATTCGTGTATGATCCTCTAGTAAGCTGGAATAAAAATCATATGGGTGAAGGTAGTGAAAAAACAAATGAAAAAGTAAGTTATAATATAATAGATATTAATAATGTGCATGCAATATAAATTATTAATATAGAATATAAAATATAATTGAATATTTTAGGCTGTAGAACATATAAAAAATATAGAACAACGATTGAAAGGATTAATTCGATATCATGGAAAAAAATTAGAAAACATTGCTTTAAATCTTAGTGTCGAGGGACAAACTAATCATTTGATTCTAGAAGCAACAAATGTAGATAATCTTTGTCAAATGTATTTTGGATGGGGTGCATATATGTAAAAAATATTATCAATATAATATATAATAATATAATATTTATATATCAGATAATAATCTATCACTAATGAAAAATTATACAAACCAATTTTAATTTCTAAGCTTCTGTATTGAAGCTTTGAAGCATCATAAAATATGAAAATGCAGTACTAAGTATCTGCAAATGTATGTAAATTATCAGATAATTATTGCAATTTAAAATGTTAATATGCTAATAAAAATTTTACATATATATATATATATATATATTTTTTAATAAAATCTTACCGCGGTAAAATTTTCTAAATGCATTATATATAATTTTCCTGCAGTAATAAAACTAGGTTTTTGAGAACGTAATATAATCATATATATTTCATCTTTAATAAAAATTGGCAATTGATACCATTGTATAGAATATGCAGCTATGCTTATATTGAAACTCTGTCTCAATGAGAATTAATTTAAAATTTAAATAATTACATCTGTTTTTGTATATATATGTTAATATTACCTGTCGCATTAAAATATCTCCGGGAAAACAGAAAAGTAATAGTTGAAAAAGCGATACAATTAAATGAGAAAAAGATTCAAGAAATTTAGATTGTTCTGTTAATGCCTATAATAAAAAAATATATATATATTTGATAATATACAATAAAGTGTTTATATTTTAATATGATTTTTTAAATTTTACAAATATACTTACTATAGAAATCTGAAATCCGACGAAACAAATTATTAGACTACTGATTATTGCTTGTAAAAAAAGCATTAGATGAAAATTCTTTTCCATATTATCACAAAACCTGAATTACACTAACGTGAATAAGAAATAATAAAATTTTTTTAAAACGCAATAAATTTATTTACCAGAGAATTAGTTGATGATGTTTAATTATATATATTATTTGAGTTTTTATTTCGTATAAATTCTTATTTATATGTTTTGAATTAGTCTTCAAACTAGTTAACTGGAAAAACAAGATTATTTTAAATATAAATAAATATTGTTATTATAATGATAAAAAAATATACATACATTATATATGTATGTATCCAGATTCTTTAAATTTTCTTTAAGCACTATAAAATGTCCACAAGTATGAAGTAGAGCAGTTGCAATTAAGCTATCAATTGCAAGCATCATCAGACAACAAATACTTGTTGCCAATATTTGAGATATATATGCAATCTATATATGCATTTGTATAAATTAAAAACTATAATAAAAATAAAATATAACTATAATGAATATTTATAATAAAAAAGTGAAATAAAATGATACCTCATAGAAGGGAAACTTATAAAAAGTTATAGGATATGATGCAGCAAATGGAAAATTTTTTATAGTAAAATTATTTAAGTTTTCATTTTTAGTTAATATTTCAATAATAGGTAAACTAAAGAAAAATAATAAGGCATTACACATTGAAATGAAATAACCTTTGGTAATGTTCTTAGCATATCTGAAATATATATACATATATATATATATATATATTGTTATTTGAAACTATAACTACTGTTATTTGAAATTACAATTATAGAAAAATAATATAATTTCTAATATTAAAAATTATAAATATTAAAAATATATATAAAAATTATTTACATTGCATATTCTTGTAAATATTCAAAAACATTAGTTTCAATTATTTTCCAATAATCTGTCAGCATAAATTCAATAAAAAATTCCAAATTTTTTCTATTAAATATCCAAACTATTGATTTCAATGCAGCAAGTAAAATTGTCAATAAAGTTGAACTAAAAAAGATGATGAAAAAAATTTAATATTTTAATAATTTAATAATAAATATTTTTATACATAATTAAATTAGTTATTTCGTTTTTAAAAATTCCAACCCTGTTTCCATAACAATATTTAAATCATTCCAATTTATATAAATCATTATTATTTGTGGTATAACAATAAACATAATGCAACTAATGCATATAACATATCTTATAATACTTATTGGATAAAATCCAACAAATTTTAGTACTAATTGATTTATGAAAACATAATTTCTAATATTCATTGTATTTTGATTAGACATTTAATTCATTGCAACAAATACATTTTAAATAAACAATGTAATTTATGAACTGAAAAATTATGTTTGTACACAACTTAGATTTTATCTGTAGGATTCATTCCATCATTATGGAACAACTACTTTTAAAAGAGATATTATAAATTTAACATGTTTAATTATTATCCTAAATTATTAAGAATGTAATGATATATTTTCTTTATAGAGCTCTATGTTCTGATCCCATGCTAAAGCATGTATAGATACATGCAAATCATCATTTAATGAATTCCTTTTGAAGCTATATCCTTGGATCATATATTATTCCTATATAATTTTACAGAGAATATTAAGTGTGATTAAAAGGAAAAAGAACTTTAGAAAGCTGTCTATTTTATTTAGCTATCTATTCTATTTTATTTCATGAGAAAAAAGTATCTTGATAATTAAAGTTCATTTTAAATAGAAACATAGTCAAGGAACATCAATAACAATAGAGATATCAAAGACACAGCCTTTTACTGTAAGTTTTTATAAAAATTTTAGTACAATTTTTTATACACATAAGATGTCTTGTAAAATTTTATTGCATTTATGTGGTGCATTAATAATAAATAAAACTTTTATGTTTGACTGTATATCTTACATGTCATTATTTAGTATTACGTATAAATAAATTATACTCATTGTCTTAAATCAATATTTTTTAGAACACTTAAATGAATATTATAAAAAAAGTCAAATCTTTCATAATTGTATATCAGACTTAATTTTTTTCAGATATAATTTTATAATTATTTACTTAATAAATTTATCCAAAAGATATTTGTACAAGTACTGATAACATTATTAGAAAAAGATAAATCGAAATAACTTGTCATTTTATTTAAGGACATTTTCGTTCTACTTGACTTTTGCCACTTTCTTCATATTCTTGACTTGATATCCACATTTGTTGAAAAGTTCCAATTGAAGCCAAAATAGATCCACCAATCCAAGCTCCGAATCGTCGTTCAGCACATCCATTTACACTAATTAATTTCAATCTCATACTGGATGGAATTCTCATGGAAAGATCTCGATTTAAACGTTCCGGAAAACCCTAAAAAGAACAATATATTAATAGGTATATAAAGTTGTTTATATAAAATAAAATTTATTTAATAATATACCTGGATGAATGAATTACCACCAGTCACAACAACACTACCATAAAGTGCTGGTCTTACATCAACATCACACATGCCTACACTAGTTGTAACAATATGACCTACTCCTAACATAGTATTACCAACCATACCACCTCGCATTTGTACCATACTGGGATCAAAAAGTGCTTCCGGTATGCGAAATCTTTCACTTCCAAAATCCTTAAAATATTTTTTTTGTTAAATATTTAACTTTCATAAACTTTAATAATAGATTACATATTACTTAAATACCTGATGATATCCAGTAGGAAATTCATATTGAACTGCAGGAATTGTAGAAACAATTTTTTCATCATATGGAGTTTCTGAGACTTGCAATACTGTAGCTTGAAAATCCTGAATAAGTTTCTTTACCATATAATTATGCCAAGATTTGGTAACTTCAGGTAATCCCTTTTTTTTTATCCATCTTGGCTTTTCATGATCTTTGACAACTTCTTTACTGCCCACCATGTAAGAAGGGGACAAATCAATGTCATTATCCTGTCATTATTTTGAAAATATAATTATCCATTTTTTATATATATCATAAAACGATATTAAATTGAAAGTATATTTATACTTGTAAAAATTGTCTGCACTGCATACTTATATAATCTCCTCCAAGTGGAGACTTAACTATTGCCTGTGTTAATACAAAACCATCTTGTACTGGTACAGCAGAAGTATGTGTTGCTCCACTATCAACAACAATACCAGTTGCTCTACCATTTGCAAAAGCAGCAAGAACTGCATTTTTAACAAGGAAATAAGCTGGTACATTATACTTCTCAAACATTAATTCAGTTAATTTCTCTCTTTTACTACGTACATTCCATGGTGATTCAGAAAACAATACTGGGTGATATTCTGCATCTGATTGAATTACTTTAGAATAAGTATAATCTAAAACCTATAATATAAAATATAATATATAATATAAAATATAATATAAAAAGATATAATTATATCATTCTAAAGATAAATGAGAATAATATTAACATTATAATTAATTTTTTACTTTTTCAAAATGATCCCAATCTTCAATCATTCCATCTTTCATGTAACTTACAACTTCCATGTTCTTTCTTGGAACATGAAGTATAGTAGTATCAATATAATATTTGGTCCCAGATTGTGTAATGTTGTTGTCCGGTTTTTTATCATCAATATCCATTGGTTCTGTTTTTGTTACTGTGCAATTGCCATCTTCTCCTATACCTACAACAGCTGGAATTTCAGCTTTTGGAGTATCTTCTTGAGCATAACCAACTCTTAAAGAATGATGTCCCAAATCAAATACTAAAGCTCCAATTTCATCTCCTCCATAAAGCATGCCACCTGACATTTTGTTGATTTTAAAATATCTATAACAATTATTTTAATTACAAAACTTAATAATAAAATTCTTATTTAATACTTAAATTTATATCATTAAGAAAGTCTATATTAAAATAAAATTTTCTGTAAAAATAATATAAATAATAAATATACTATATAAAAATATACTAAAGCGATAAAGGATAGTAACAAATTTATTGATTATAAACAAATTTTTACTTTGACCTTATAACTCACCGTAATTTTCTTACAAAAATAACTTAATGAAGTGGCAAAAATATATATACTTGACGACTACATCAACATTTATTTATGTATTTCTACAACAGAATACAACAGAAACATAACCTCAATTCAGAAAGACGCTTAATGCCGCCACCATAAACATAATAACTTCTAGATAAGCATGCTTTTTTATCAAATTCTATTTTCTAATTTTCTCATATCTATGTTCTGATAAAATTATAAAAATTATTGATTTATTATAAATAATTTTAAAATATAGTAATATTAATTTTATAATATAATTGTATTTATAAAAATCTTTTTATTATTTGATTGATATTAAATGTAAAGTAGTATAAATGAAATATATAATTTTGTATAAAAATCAATGATTCTTTTGTAATAAATAAAATTTTATTTAAAATCTATTTATAAGAATATATGAATAATCATCTAGATTGTCAATTCTTAGAAATAATGAAAAATATAATTAATATTTTTTTAAACCACCTGTTAATTCTATAAAGTTTCAATGATGTCGCTGTAATCGCAAGATGCCCACGAAATGGCGGCACTAATCAGAACGTCGGTAGACTTGGGACGATGAGGAAGTGTGTAGTTGTCTTTTAGCCATGTTCTGTCGTTTGTAATAGTGCTGTGCAAAAATGAGGTTTGTGGAAGCAAGACTCAATCTGTCGTTCCATGTGCGACGGTGAGTCAAAGAAATTGGCATGTGTTCGCTCAACAGAACATTGTATGCTCGTGCAGCAATCGCATAAGAAAGCTACGATGGATTTTTGTACGCGTCGGAGTCTGACACCCGCTGGCCTAATGGAGCCGCGTACTCTTGCTATCCCGTTGGCTTTGTTGACATTCGTCATATTAAGTAAGTTTAATTTACTCTTGTCACGAAAGTATATTATCTTGCATTATTTTTATTTAAAATAATGTATTATAATATTTATTATAAATATATTTTATTGAGATTTTAGTATTAAAAAGTGATTTAAAACTCTAATATTCATATATATAAAATCAAAAATATAATTATCATAATATGATTGTTATTGGTAAATATAATATAAAAATATTTTTTCATTAATTTTTATTGTTGAAAATATAACTCGATTTTATTATATTTTATCTAATGTTTTATCGATGAACATGTAAATGGAAAAATATCATTGCCTATCATTTTACAGTAACTAATGTTTGCATCTCAATTTATCATGATAATAAGCAAATATTTACAAAACTATTTTGTGATTTTTAATTTATTAATCTCTAAATATAAGAAATTATATTTAAAATATTTCGAATTATAATCGAAATTTTTCGTCACAGATAAGATTTCAAATCTGAAAATAATTATTTTGTGTAAATTGTGTAATGCATAATAAAAAGACTACGAATTTAAGATATTAATATTTATTTGCATATATATTTGGCGATTAAATTTTATAAATTCCATATGAAAAATATAATAAATTATAAAATTAAAATCATTTTTTTATTTAACTTATAATATATTTTTATAATATTATTAAATTTGTTAAATAAAGCGTCTTGGATCATTGGACAAGTTCAAACAATTTATTTAAGAATTTCATATGTTAAGCAAGACAAATAAATAATTTTAACGTATATAAAAAAAGCATTTTTAATAATTTATAATTATTTTGAAAAATTAAGTTGAGAAGCACTGTATTTGGGTAGCTATTATTGATGCAGAGAAGGATGTAGTAGATATAAGGGGATGATTCGGGGGTGTATTTCCGATTGTAACGATTTGGACGGAGATACATCCCTTGATATTGTCGCAATAATAAAAAATTGTTTTTTTGATAAAAGTAACAATAAATTAAAAGAATTTTAAATCAAAATTAAAGATTATTTTCTAACATATGCTATAGTACAAATGCGCGCGTAAATAAAAGTTTCGAACCATTATAGATTTATTAAAGAGATTGCACTTTCGTTAGAAGCATTTGCGTTTAAACATTTTAGCAAAGTATTCCAATAACGTGGCAAGCCTCTCCTTATGATTTTATCGTGATAGGAAATGCATGTGTCGCTATGCCAATCTATCACCAGAACTACCCACGCTAAAAATAAAACGTTCTATTCTTTTTTCCATATAGTAAAATATCATAGAATTATCTCTTTTATTATTCTTCTTGTTTGCTTTCGATCATTACATACATTCGTCTAGTTAGATATAAAGATCCATTTCCGGCTCGTTGTGGTGAAGAAGTATACAAACATTAAAAGGGGTCTTAAAAGGATGCGTTCCTCAAATAAACCAGTTAACTTTCTCCGAGATATGATTAGATATACTGATTTGCAAATAAGTTACAATACAATCATAGATTTTTAAATAAAAATTTAATAATTTAATTAATAATATCTAAATGTATATTTCAATATATATCGAACATTTTTATATTAATTGAATTAATGAAAAAAATTGAAATTTTTTTTTTATTCTTTCATTTTCTTTTGAACAATATATATATAAGAACTTGCTTGTGACTGTGCAAGCTATATATATATATATAAATATGAAGATTCACTCTAATACTGATATTCCAAATACGGAACAGATCGTGTAACATACACGCGTCCAAATGTGTTCCATGTAAAGTGGTATTTACAAACGTGTGTACTCTGCGTCTGATGTCGTAACAACACCTTAATGGTCAGCGCCCACGCAATGTATGTGCATGCATATTAATATATAAGGTGATTTACCTAAAATATTTTTTTTTACATTTTAACATTTAAGGAGTTTTTAATTCTTTTTATTTACAATGTTACAATGTTCATTACAGAAAAATAATATTTATCCAAAGTTGCAATATATTAGCAATTTTATTATATACTGCAAATTATATGTTAGATATATTAATATATTATCTTTTCAAAATAGTACTCGTTTCTTTGATTTTCATTCTTATTTAATGTTTCATGGAATAGCATTTTGAACAAAAGTAACGATATAAAGAAAATATCTTGAGAAAGAAAAATAAAAAAAATCTAATTCAAAAAATTAATTTATCAATTGTAAAAATCAAGTTTAGATTTTTGTATATGTCTTAATATGACGCAAATAATTAATTGATTTCCTTATAGAAAAGGATAGCAATATTTATGAGACACTGTATAGATTTATCGTAGTACGATATATATGTACCTTGCCTTCCTTCACGGTCTGTTCGTCACATGTTGAGTACTTTTACCGCGTTTTTCAACATTCTCCCTGCTTCCCTTACTAACTTCCACAGATGTATGAAACTACTTCGCAAATTAATTCTTATTGTGAAAAAATTTATAAGATTTATTAATATACAAAAATTCATATAAGATAACTATGCATTTAGAAAAATTCATAAATTAAGAGATTATACAAAAAAAAAGTTAATTTAAAAAAATAAGAAAAAATATTAATAGTATTGAACAAAATAATAACATTAATAATTGCAAAGTAGAAAAAATACGAAATTATCTTTACGTTGATCATATAAATTTTATCTTTAGGAAATTACATTTAATTTGATCTAAGATAATGACATTAAGATTTGTTTTTACATGATACTCTCATTTTCCTTCTCTTTCTTCTCAGTTTCTTTCTTTCACTCCCGTGAAAGACCGTACTACTAAACAAGATGTATAAACTGATGTCTGATAAACGCCCTGTAGAAAATAAGGTGCAGTGGTTGTTACGGCGACAGATTTACCTCGCGCATGCACTGCAATGGTTCTCCTCTTGATCTATTTCGGTATGCCGTGCGGTAGGTTGTCGCCCGCGCTCATAAATCAAATAGTCAGACAGCGAACGGTTTATTTTCCTTGAGAATGCACCATCGTGGCGCTATCAGGCGCCAAATTTCGCACGTTCCTTTCTTTTTCTCCTATTTTTTTCCTACTCTCTAACATGTACCTTTGTATTTTCGCAAATAATTGATAAAATTAATTTTGAAATATAAAAAATAAAAAGTTCAATAGTCACAATTATTAATTTTCAATTCATTAGTTTGATATAATCGATATGAACACTTTTAATTCTATAAAGTTGACTATTATTGTAATAGTAAAAATTTAAATTTAAAATTCAATATAAGAGGTATAATATTAAAAATAAATAATGATATAAAAATGATATAAAAATACCAGCATGAATTAATTCCTATTAATCATTGAAGATGTGTTTCTAAAGATTGTACGGTGACAGACCACCGTGAGTGTGAAACTGTAACCCAATAACCGTAGACAGTGTTTCTCAATTTTATGAAAAAGTTGATATTAGTTATATAATGTTGATTGACATATGATTTATTTATTTCAAATATTATTTCAAATATTCATGATTATATTTTATTTTTATCTCATGCTATTTAATCTTTATATTTATATTTCAAACGAATTAATTATAATATTTAATAATTTTGTCTCGTATTATGTGAAATGTACTTCATATGTTTTATATTCTTTATTTATTAATATTTTTTTAAATAGTTTATAGATATTTATTAATTCAATTATTACGATTATCGATTAGAATGATTATTAATTTGAGAAAATATTTCATAATTATCTCCACATAATAATATGTATCTAACAATAATATGTATTTTTTTAAAAAAATTCTTAAAAATTACTTAAGAAAATTTACTTAATTACTTAATTACTTAATTACTTAAGAAAATTTTAATAACGTGACTGTATTTTCTTATGCCAATCCTTAAGGTCTATTGTATATAAATAAAGATATAAATAAAGACAAAATTATATATTATATTTGAAATTATCTCTTTATTAGATAATACTTTAAATAATTTAAATATTGAAACAATATATTGAAAAGTTTTAATTTCATAAAGAGAGTTTATAAAAATCAAATAATTGTGAGAATTTATATTTGCGATTTTTTTTAAAAAAATATGATTTTTTTGTATATTGATTGTTTGAAATTAAACAAGAATTAGTATTCACTGGAAATCATTCCCATCGTATTCATAGTTTTGTTAAGTTTTTCTTATTTCTTTGTTCTCACAAAGAATTATTCAGAAAAGATGTTGAATCGTCCTGCGTCGTAGTTGTATACGTCTATCGGATGATCGCAAAGCCTTGTAAAAGAAAAAAAAGAAAAGAAAGAAAAGAGAATTTAGGCGCTCGGCTCGGATGTCTTGCTAAAGGGCTAAAGGGTGCCTATATAGGGTTGCCGACCCTTTATCCATTTTCTTTTCTTCGCTTTATAACACGTTGGTATCTTCCTTTTTATACCTAAATTTCTAGTTGTTTTTTTAAGATTTATTATTATAATATTTAATTATTATTTATTGATGTTTATATAAAATAATATATTAAATTCAGTTATAATTTGATGTTATGATTATTATGATTATTATGTTATGATATTATTTTTTACTCTTTTTAATAAAATACTTACTAAAATATTTTATTTTAAGTTATTTTTAAATACAGTACATTTAACTACAATTAGTTTATAAAAGTATTATAAGTGTATATTTATAATTTCTTTATTAGAAATGATATAGCAAATAATATATTCTCTTCTCAGCAGCTAATGCAAGTGGATTGTATTTTACTATTGAACCACAAGATGTAGTAGTTGAACAGGGAAATCCTGCTAGATTGGATTGTGAAGCAAGTAGTAATTTTGGGAAACCCAATATACAATGGAGAACTGATGATGGACAACCAATCAATTTTATTGGAGATAGTTATAGGTATGAATATCAAGATTAGAATGATAAATTTTTCTTAAAAAAGAAACTTTTCTATTTCTATTATAACTTTTTTTTGTAGATCTCAATTAAGTAATGGATCTTTATATATAAATAGTGTTTATGGCACTAGTCTGGAATTGACTGGAAGCTATCAATGTTTAGCTTCTGTAGATGATATTGGAGCTATTGTTTCTCGAATTGCCACAATTAAAATTGCTAGTTAGTACCTAGAATTAATTAAATTTTTGAAATTGTAATTGTCATTATTGTATATAAAATTTATATTATTGTATATAAAATATATAAAATTTTATTTTAAAGGTTTACCAGGATTTGAAAGAGAACCTCAAGACACTATGGTTTATCCAGGACAAATTGCATATTTAAGTTGTACACTTCTTACAACTTCTAGTTCATTAATTATACAATGGTTAAAAGATGAACATCCATTAATAATAAATTCCATGGATAGTCGAATGACAATTTTGCCATCAGGTGCATTAGAAATTGATAATGTTAAAATGGAAGATGTTGGATCATATAGATGCAATGCTAGTAGTTATGGACAATATAGGCTTAGTAATAAAGCACAATTAGGATTGCTAACAAGTGATATTGGTAAGTACAAATATTTAAATATAATTTCTATAAAATAGTAAATTTTAATTTATATTTTATAATATAAATATGTAGATCAAGAAAGTACTCCACCAGTTTTTATTGCTAAACCATTACAACAAGTAATTATTGAAGGATCAACAATTACACTTGAGTGTGCTGCCAATGGTTACCCAAAACCAAGTATACTTTGGTTGAAAGATGGTGTTGCTATTGATCTAACATCTTTTAAATCTAGGTATATAAAAAAAAAATATAAAAAAATTATAAATATTTAAATTTTTATTTTATCATTTAGATATAGTAGAATTGCTGCATCTAGTCTTGTGATTAGCAATGTTGAAGAAATAGATAATGGTTCTTATCAATGTCGCGCAGAAAATGAAGTTGAAATATTAGATGCAACTGCTGATTTAATTGTACAAGGTATTTAATTTCTGTATATAATATATATATATATATATATATATATATATTCATCATTTTGCTTCATATTATTACTTTTTAGTTCCACCAAGATTTATTAAAAAACCAGAAGATAAAATAGCTAGCGAAAATCAAGATTTAGAATTTGAATGCGAAATTTATGGTAAGCCTCAACCAAAAATTACATGGCTCAAAAATGGAGAACGTATTACCTTGAGTGCATATTGGCAAATTGTTAATGGGTAAATCTTTAAAATATCGATTATAATGAATTATAGCATATAGTAAGTCATCA